TTATTTGAGTATTCTGCTGTTTCTATAAATTGAATTTCTTTTAAAAGTTTATTACTTTCTCTTTGCATTTTGTAGAGCATTGTTTCTGCTTAGTAAAGGAATGGTAAGATTTGGCATTTCAGTTATAATTTATTAATTAGTGTAATTGTTCTGATAATGTTTTGTTTTCAGTTTTTTACATTTTACATGTCTTTTCTGCCTTCTGCAGTTGCTGCTAATGGAGAGGAAGCTTGCAGAAGTGCACCCTCTCCTGACACTGTGTGGGAATATTGTTGAAAATTGGCAGGGAAATCCTATTCAGAAGGAGTCTTTGAGAGTCTTCTTCCTGGTCCTGCAGGTTACACACTACCTAGATGCTGGACAGGTAATACATTTAGAAGATGGCACTGTAATCTTACATATCTTGGAACACTGGACAGTTCTCTAACAGCCATGTGTGTCCTCAGGTCAAGAGTGTGAAACCATGTCTAAAGCAGCTCCAGCAGTGCATTCAGACCATCTCCACACTCCATGATGATGAGATTCTGCCCAGTAACCCAGCTGACCTCTTTCACTGGCTGCCCAAGGAGCACATGTGTGTCCTTGTGTACTTGGTAATAACCATTTATACTCCATCATGTAAACTGTGTGCATGTTAAGTTTCAGTTTTGTAAAAACAAATCACTTTTAGCATGCCTATAACCATCTGCCCCACTGACTATTATTCAAGCAATCATATCACTTTAATTGTCTTTTATAGGTGACTGTCATGCACTCCATGCAAGCAGGCTATCTGGAGAAAGCCCAGAAATATACAGACAAAGCTCTCATGCAACTGGAGAAACTAAAAAGTAACATACATTTTTCAAAGTATCAAGATGATAATGGCTTGAGTATGGTACTTGTTTAGCTTCTTTGTTGTGATCTTCATTTAGTGTTGGACTGCAGCCCTATCCTCTCCACTTTCCAAGTTATTCTTCTGGAGCACATTATAATGTGTCGACTCGTCACAGGCCACAAAGCCACTGCATTACAGGAGGTACAAAAATCATGTGCTGAATATGTGTGCTTTTGCAATTGCAATCCTGTAATTAAGTTTGGACAAATTGTTAATGGTTGCACAGATCTTGTTCTAGTAACTCAAAACGCTGATATTGATTGGTTTATAATGAAATTACATTTGATTCATAATTAAATGTTTGACATTGTTGTTTTCCCCGTTCAGATTTCACAGGTGTGCCAGCTCTGCCAGCAGTCCCCAAGGTTATTTACAAATCATGCTGCTCAACTTCATACACTTTTAGTAAGTGTTCTCTGTGATTTTAAATTTTTTATATAACTTTGATAATTTTATTTAAAGAATGTGTTTGTTATTTTGGTTAATTATTGTCCAATGCCGATTTGTTGCATTTACTAAATTTTTTTGTCAGGGCCTGTACTGTATCTCTGTGAACTGCATGGATAACGCTGAGGCACAGTTTACTACAGCATTGCGGGTATGGATGAATAAATGTTTGTGTTTTATTCCCATTTGTGCTGCTCTTATTATTTTGTCCTTTGTTTATTATAGCTCACTACACATCAGGAACTTTGGACATACATTGTAACAAACTTGGCAAGTGTCTACATAAGGGAAGGAAACAGACATCAGGAGGTTAGTTGAGTAATTTGTACTTAGGAAGCACCATAATAACCATAAATGCTTTTACATGACTGCTGCATTATGTGAGCACTGTTCTAAGAATAGGACACATTATTTATGTGCGTATGTAAATAAGCATCTAATACTATTTTCAGATCATGGTGAATACCTGTAGTTGGAACACCTTTGCATTTGAGTGCAGCTGCTTGAAATGCATTGATTGACTGCAAATTTTGAAAAAGTTTTGGTTTTCCAAGTTTAGTGGTTTAGTTTTATGTGCAAAGCCTATGTTACAGAGTTGCAAAAGCTCCTTTTCTCCTTTTTATTTGAGTCTGAACACAGCATAAGAGGATTAGAAAGACTTCATCATTACAGTTGCATTTTTCATATTTTGTAGTTGTACAGTCTGCTGGAGAGAATTAACCCGGACCACAACTTTCCTGTCAGGTAGGGGCCTTTTATTAAACACACTCAGTGTCCATGCCATTTCATAAATGATGAAAGTTTTAAATGATTATCTTCATCATGCAGCTCTCACTGCCTCCGTGCAGCAGCCTTCTACATCAGGGGATTGCTGTCTTTCTTTCAGGGACGCTACAATGAGGCCAAGTATGGAAAACATTGCTTTTCAACAGTCTGCTTTGTACCGCCAAATTTTGTTACTGAGTTATTCATGTTTCATGTGTTACAGGCGTTTTCTCAGAGAGACTTTGAAAATGTCCAATGCTGAGGATCTAAACAGACTAACTGCCTGCTCCCTGGTTTTGCTGGGTCACATCTTCTATGTTCTTGGCAACCACAGAGTAAGAGTCTAGGTGTATGTACCTGAAAATTATAAACGTGTGAACATAGTAATGTATAAGTTTTTTGTCACTGTTTCTTCAGGAAAGTAACAACATGGTGGTTCCTGCAATGCAGCTGGCCAGCAAGATTCCAGACATGTCTGTTCAACTGTGGTCGTCGGCGCTTTTGAAAGGTCAAAAACTCAACACTAGGGCACAAAAATATATCAAAATCTTTCCATGTATTTTTTATTTTTTTACTTTAATTTTTTTTTCCTTATAATAGAAATTACTTTTTATATTCATTTCATTTGCTATTTAAGGAACACACACAAACACAGAAGCAAAACGATCAAGGTATCCAAAGTATAAACTCCTCTTTTACCTCATGTTAAAAAGCTCCACGCTGCTGATGATAAAGACAATTAAAAACTAGTGTCTCTAGGATCTAGGATCTCAATTTGATTAAAATGTGATTAATTTCACAGCTCTACATTAAACCATAGATTAGGACCATGAGCACTAATCATGTTGATGTTGTGTGCAGACTTGAACAAAGCTCTTGGGAACACAATGGATGCCCATGAAGCAGCGCAGATGCACCAGAACTTCTCTCAGCAGCTCCTGCAGGATCACATCGCAGCCTGCAGCCTTCCTGAACATAACCTTATCAGTGTGAGTAACCAATCACCAACTTGTGCCTATATTTTTTGTCACTTTCAGCTGTGTTAATATGCTTATGTTTACATTGTCTGTCTTTTCTTTCTTTTTTTTTTTTAAGTGGACTGATGGCCCCCCTCCTGTCCAAATCCAAGCCCAGAATGGCCCCACCACCAGTCTGGCAAGCCTACTATGAGAACTTTAGTATTCCATTGACAGATCACATTCAATCCAATGAACTGCTGCATGTCTCATCAAGGACCCATATTTTTCAAGTTGCTTTTAGTTTTACTACAATGGATCTGTGTGTGTTTTGGCTCACTGGTATCATGGGGTACAATTGCTGGCCAAGAAATGTATGCACAGTAGAAGGGTAAGACCTAAAAACGTTCCTCTAAATTAAAATCCTGGAGAAAACGTTGATCAAACATTTATAAAGGGGGCTTTGATTGTGGCAGCAATGAAATGTAGGAGAAATTAATTTATTCATGTTTGTATTTTTGTAACTGTTGGTAAATATTTTACGTCTTGCCTTTTTGTAGATACTTGTTTTCCATGCATGAAAGTTACTGATTTGAGCTATGCTTTGACCCATTTATTTTTTTCAAAGGTTGACAATTCCAAATGTAGAGACCTCATAGATTTGAAATGGAAGATTAGTTCAATTGGTCCTTTCTGCATGTGGTAAAATGGACAAGTATGCACAACAGGGATATTTTCAGTATCCACAGTTCTTGTAAGGACCAGAAGATGTCGCTGTTTGTTTTGTTAATAAGCAGTGTTTCAGATAAAAACCGTTGGTGGCTCAGGAGGTGCCGCTCACCCTTTTAACACATTAAATGTTAATTTTAAGTTGTAATATATGAATTTCTTGCAAAAGTATTGAAACTTTTACATCATGCTTAAACGTTTTGGTCTGAAGTTTCTTTTTGTCAAATATCCAGGAAATGGATTTATTTTTGTTATTTTAATTTGCCAGAGTAGTTATACTAATGGGGTTTCTTTACAGTATGTTTGTATAATTTTGCCACTCATTGACCCTATTGTACAGTAACATTTTATAAGTCAATTTAGGAAAATGTGGTATGTATTTTAGCTATTCTTTGTAGAAATCTTACTGCTTGGTATTTAAATTACTAGCCATATTCTATCCAACACCTATTTTAAAGCCTACTTTGTTCTCAAGAATTTTCCAATAAAATTACAGTTTAAATACTTTTGAATACGATTTGTTTTATTAATGGAAGGACTTTTTATTATAAGCAAATATAGACATGCATAACGGATGTCATGATGGTCAATTGATCTAATTGATAATGCAGTTTCAGTACAGTGTACTGGCAAGAACATAACATTGGTTAAGTGTAACTAAGGATATTGGTTAGTTAAGAACAAGAATAAAGTCATTAAAAGGCTAAACTGCAGGAGGCTTCGACCACTACTCCTATTACAACCACTAGAAGCCAATAGGTGGTGCTAAGTTGGTCAGGTTATGTTACAGAATAGTAAAAGGATTATTCCCAACAGATTTTATTTATTTACAAACAAAGCAGGTTGCTTTTATGATTTCATTCCTTGTCATTCCCTTTCTAATGATAGTTCTGCATCTGAACAAAATAAAGTCGCCTTGCCAATGGGTTTCACCAATGGGTAGGTGAAACAAATGGTACACATTATTTTTATTTACATATTCACACATATCACATTTTGTAATTGCATAGATATTATGTTATACTGTTCAACTACTGTGGCCAAGAAATTACTCCCACAATGTAAACAAACAATATACTAAGACAATTTAATGAACCAAATTCTCATACAATTTCTAATCACCTCTTAGAAACTGCATTTTATTTTTTGCATATAAAGCTTAAACCCAACATCTTGTTCCGTTTGAGTGGTTTTAACTTTACATTTCCGAGGTGAGTATGAACGCAGCATGACGCCGCCTGTGGTGGCTCATTACATTATCTGGCAGCCGGAGTGGCAGTGGACAGAAGAGAGGGGATCCCCGGGATTTTTACACCGAATCCAGCGAGATACTAACATCATACTACTGAATATCGCGGGGCACTCGACAGAGCCCCTCTTAGATTCCGTAAGTTTATATTAACCGATCGGAGCAACTAATCCACGAGTTTATCCGTCAGTTACATTAAGGTGACGAAGGGAAGTTTCTATATCAATGTTAGCTCTGTAATGCTAACTAGCATAGCTTGATCTGCTAACGTGAGAGGTAACAGTTTGTGTGTCGCCGCTGCTACACACATACACCTACCAAGTACGCACTGCCAAGAACAATCCGCCTTTAAGTCAAATTTCTCAAACTTCTCCTAAAAACATATGGGATGCTCTAATACAGATATATTGTCAGTATGCTATTGAATAGGTCTACTCAAGATGTAAAGTGGCGGAACAAATTGGTTGTATTTATATACAATTAGCGCCTGATTATTTGTGAATATATTTTGCAAGTGTGTCTGGCAAGCGGATGTCCAGGGAGTAGCATTAGCATGCTAACTTAGCCTGATGCTAGCCTATTAACACTAGCGGCTTGCCGAGATGGGGTCGATTTCATTGTTGTCTGTCATGTATCGCTATTTGGATGTTCACACACTTTCGTGTGGCACCTAACCCCAACAGTTACTACATTTTATTTATACATGTTTCACTTCACTTTAACTTTTACCCTTGTCTTTCCCTGATAAGTAAAATGATTAGCCGTGGGTAGTTAGCCGCTGGTTTGCAGCCGGACAGATGGACAGGTTGTTGTTGGCAAGCCAAGTTACGTTAGCATAAGATAGCTTGTTGTTTATGCTGATTTACTCTGAGATTGGTGGCTTTTAGAATTCAAGTAGCTAGAGTTTGAAGTACGGAGTTGTGTGTATATTATCAAACATACACTACTTTACATCCCAATGGGGCTCAATTATCATAGCTTTATGATCCCACAACTTTGTCAGACTAGCTCAACCATGAAAAGCCTTTTTATGGAGGCGTAATGGTGGACGGTGTGCCTCCACTGGGTGCGTGTCTTTCATGACAGACTTGAGAGCCATCAACCTCGTCAAACTACTAACTTCATTCTAGTTTTCAAACGTATCCTTGTCTCAAATACGTGAATCTGTAATGTCAGTATCATTTGTAAAATTGACTGGTATTTCTTTTGAGTCAGAGTATACAAGGATTTGTTGTATATTTGCGGTCTTGATGTATTTGTGTATGATTCTCTCTTTGACGTGTCTCTAAACTCTCTACCTCTCCCCAGGAAGTAGCTCTATTTGAAAGGGGGAAGGCAGTTGGCACTCAGCTTGTGATGGGGGACACATGTCTATTTGCATTTTATGATGGGTTGATGTGCGTCAAACTTTACTGAATATGGGACAAGACAGACACAGTCTGTAAGTTAAATAAAGTTAGAGTAAAATGTAAATACGTAACTTTTTAAAACATGAATTGAAGAAATTAAAAGAACAAAAGATAATTTGTATGGAGGAGCCACCGCCAGCTTTTATTTATAGAGATGATATTGCTTTGCCTGTAATGTTGTAAAATATGTTATTAAACTTGTGTTTCCCATGGAGTCAAATGGGCAATGTAACTACAGGTCAGATCTGCGGAGAGTTGACTCTCCTGCTCACTGTTAGATTGCGTGTTAAACATTAATAATATGTTAAATGCAATAGTGTAAAACATTCAGGGCAAGGCCATAACATCTCCATGGCTACAAGCTAGTGGCGGACCTTACACCAGAGCAGGTACATAACTCTAATCAGAAGCACTATCTAAAATGTCTCCATTTGGCAGTGCTTCACCAAAACCTGTTTTGCTAGATCACCTCTAAGTGTTTTATGATGGTAGGATTTACCTTTTGAACTTCACAACTTCTCTTAATATAAATCATGTTGTAGAACCGTGCAATTAATCAAGTTGTTTTAAATGCACATGTACCAATTATTCATAGTAACTTAAATAATTAATATACGTTTCATAAGTCTCCTAATGTAATTTCATCTGTTCTGTCTTTTCTTAATTTTAAGCAGGACAACACAGTTTCTTAGATTATTTAATCATTATAATGCAGCCTTTCCATTTTGTGCTGTAGGCTTGACTGTTCCGATTGTAGTGCCGTCTTGTGTGTGTATATATGTATATATGTATGTGTGTGTATATGTATGTGTGTGTGTATATATATGTATATAATTTTTATTTTATTTTATTAATTTTTTTTTTACATATTTTGTATTTTCTTATTGATGTGTCACATGGCATCGAAAAGTGGCAGTGGTTTGTTGTCCGCAGGGTCCCACCTTATGGCCTGAGGTGAGGAGAGGAATTTAGTAATGATTGGCTGACGAAGCTGCATCTTGTTTGCCCTGTTGGACTTCATATTGACTCAACTACTGCATATTTGAGGTGCCTTTTGTTTGAGGTGTTAAAACCCACATGTCTCAGTACTGTTACATGCTGTATTAATTACGATCAAGTGTCACGTATCGACACACTGTATGTTTGCTAATTAATATATAGACACTTTTTTCTTGTTGCATACAAAGCTGGAAGTTGTGAAACCTCTAATTAAAAGTGTCAGTGTTACAACTAAATGTTAGAGTATTGTTTTCCTCAAATTGTTTTTTGTATAGATTCTGTTGCCACAGGTTTTCGTGCATAGGAACATAAATCCCCATTTTTCATTGTGTCCTAGCTGTTTTTGCAAAGTCGGGTACAGATTTTAAGTTATTTTATCAGTTTGTGTGTAACAAGTTTTTCACTGTGTGACCAGTGCTGACAAGGCAACTCTTGAACTCCCAGTGCAGGATTGAGACTTGGAAACACGAAGCATCAAGGCATGTGCCCAAGAGGGGACAAAGTGTTCTGCCCTGTGTCCTACCCATGACTTTAGTTCAACTCTGATGTTCCTGTTTGATCACAGCATGATTTTTGGTCCAAGGCACAAATATGTGATAATATTTAATTGAGACTTTCTGTCACTTGTCACTGTGCATACAGCTTGTTGAATTTTAAATGTAGCAGCACTTGATCAGATTGTAATGAATTTCTTTTTTGGGTTTAATTGTAAAGTTTAATTGTGAAGTCCACCTTATACATTGTACATTTTACATTGACGGGGAAAAAGTGAACAATACAATTTTAAAATATGTTTTCTTAGTAGGACTAGATGATGAAACAGTGTTCCTGTTTATCATGAAAGTGTAAGTTGAGCTGTATCCTACATTTAGTGTTTTGTGGAGGACTACAGGTGAAATGTGACACTGTACTTACCTCTTTGGCATAAAGCATATGCTGGCACATATACAGTAGCTGTAGAGAAATTATGATGACTGCGTCAGGTTGTGGGAACTGTAAATGGCAGTGGACCCGTTTTTGAGTAGTTTGCTGTACACGTTGCTGATATCATTCGGTCAACAGGTGGAAAAAACTTGTAGTCAACTGGTATTGGGCCTCCTTAGGTTGTCAATAATATCCTCTGACTTTGGATAGTTTTAAAAACTTTTTTAAAAAGGTGGTGATTAGATTACCATATATTACTTCCTTTTCATGAAAAGGGCTTTAGCTGCTGTCATGTGATCAATGATTCTTGTTATTGATTTCATGTTGACTGGCCTCACAAGCAGAGAGTCATAATTATACTTACCAGTCCTTTGTTGAACCTGTCAGTTTTTAGAAAGATTTTTGAACAGGGGAGAAAAAGTTCTGGATCACGTTGAAATTAAAATAGCTGCATGACAGGTTTTTTGACACATGTGACAGAATGTGATGGTTGCCACAAGGATTAGTTATCCTCCATGTTGCCTGTTTAATATTTACTCTTCACAGTTGTTCATATTACTTCGATTCCACTTGGCAGAGTCTTTTACAGTTTTAGACTGATCGCTCTCAAATATTAAGTTCAAGGGTTTGCTAGATTCTTAGTGATGTCAGAGTTTTTAGGCAACGTTGTTCTTTTGAGATTTAAAATTCTCAACTAAAATATAATGTAACGTTCTTGAGTAAAATGTGACTTAAAAAGGTTTTCTGTATGTATCATCACACTTATTTACGTGTCTGCTGCTGCCCTGAGTTAACCCCTGCCTCTCTGAACAGAGCCCATAAAGTTACCATCATGGACATAAGTTTCAAATCTGCTGCTCTGACCCAGTTTGTTGTCCAGATGATGCACTCTGATGTGCGTCTGCTGCTTGACTGTACTTCTCTGCACCCTTTAAGCTTTTTTCTCATTCTATCCTGGTCACTTCCTGCTACCATCCATTTCTGAGAAATGAAATCTGATAGCCTGCTGCGTGTGTCCCGACCCTCCTCTTTGTGGGTATAGGCTTCTGTTTTTTACGGGATTATCTAAGAACCGGTTGGAAACAATTTAACTTAAAATTGAGATTATGTTTGTCAAGGCTACCATTAGCAATAGGATGTTTCTTTCATTAGAATCAGTAAACATTTGTGGCTTTAAAATTTGTATTGGTGCTTGGGATGATTGATTTGTCATAACCTACACGGTGCAAATATTGAGTGCTGTGATTGATTAAGATAACTATATATTTCAGTGCCAAGTTGTACTTCCTGATTGTTTGATCAGAAAGTTGCCTTACTCCATACCATGTCTGTTCACTAATGGCCCTTTGTGAGTTTGAGTAGGCCCAGTTTGCACTTCCTGGACTTAGTGCTGTTGTCGTTGTCACGTTGCTGAGGGAGAATCCAGGTGGAGACATGCGCACACAAACATTCTGTGGCTACGGCTCTCGCTCTCACACTCACTCGCGCACACACTCACACACACACACACACGTGCACACACACAGCAGCGGTCTGGCAGATTCAGGGTTAAAGGCTTCCATTTTGTTAGGTAACACCCTAATGGTCTGATCTGTCAGTGGCGTTAAAATGGCAGGGGCTTAACCCTTGGTGTTCGGGACACAACCAGTAGGGGCACACACACACACACTCTGGGCCGTCCAAGTGTACAGCAGGAGCTCTGAGAAGGAGCAGGCAGGAGGGGGGAGTGAGGAAGAGCAGTGAGCGCATGAGCCACACAAGACCAGGAAGAGTATTTTTACTTGGGTACAGTTAGATTATGCCTCA